GCCATTACAAGATGGCGCCTGTTTCCGGCTTTGCCTAGAGCAGTAAACAAGTTCAGCGCACGCGCAATTGTCGGTTACCCTGTGGCGCAAGCATGCAAATGAAGGATCCTACTATGGACCAATGCTTTGGTGGCTCGACAGCTGAGCGGCCTATCCCAGCTTAGGGGTTGTGCTTCTAGGGTATATAGCAGCCTGCGTGCTGCTGGGCTAGGTCTTCTGGATCATGTAAGTCTAAAGGGAACCCCATTAAAGCACTGTCAGAAGAACTCCAGTTGCCGCGTCTTCCTTGCTGGCGAGGCGGGCGCGACACCCAATAGCTCTGATGGAGATGTACAAGGATATTAATGTTTTCATGCCTGCTAACACAACATCCATTTCACGGGAGTAATTTCAACTTTATTGTCATATTACTTAAGAAACATATTTTATAAGGCTATAGCTGTCATAGATAGTGAATCCTCTGGTGGATGTGGGCATAATAAATTGAAAACCTTTTGGAAAGAATTCACCACTCCATTTTTAAAATTTTACTAAGTTAATTAATTTTTTTAGTTTCCCCAGTCTAAAAGGATCCCGGGATTCACCACTCCAGATGCCATTCAGTACATTCGTGATTCATGGGAGAAGGTAAAATATTAACATTAACAGGAGTTTGGAAGAAATTGATTCCAACTCTCATGGATAATTTTGAGGGGTTCAAGACTTTAGTACAGGAAGTCATTGCAGATGTGGTGGAAATAGAAGAGAGCTAAAATTAGCAGTGGAGCCAAAAAATGGGACTGAATTGTTTCAATCTCATGATAAAACTTGAATAGATGAGGAGTTGCTTCTTATGCATGAATAGAGAAAGCAGTTTTTTAAAATTGAGATAAAAGTTACATAACATAAAATCAACAATTTTAAGGAGAATAGCTCAGCGGTATTTAATTACATTTACAATATTTTGCAACCATCACCTCTATCTAGTTCCAAAACATTTTAATCACCCCAAAGGGACATATTATTACATGTGAAGCAGTTACTCCTTATCCTCCCATCCCCTCATACCCAGGCAATCACTGTTCTAAGGAAATTGGTTTCTTGAGATGGAATCTACTGGTGAAGATGCTGTGAACACTGTTGAAATGACAAAAGATTTAGAATATTACGTAAACATAAACACCAGCAGGGTTTGAGAAGATTGACTTCAATTTTGAAAGAAGTTCTGCACTGGGTAAAATGATATCAAACATTATTGCATGCTATAGAGACATCTTTTGTGAAAGGAAGAGTCACTTGATGTGGCAAACTTCATTGTCGTCTTATTTAAGGAATTGCCACAGCCACCTGAACCTTCAGTAACCATCACCCTGATTAGTCAGCAACCATCAACGTGGAGACGAGAACTCTCATCAGCAAAAAGATTACAACTCAATGAAGGCTCAGATGATCATTAGCATTTTTTAGCAATTAAGCTTTGTTTTTTTTTGTTTGTTTTTTTTTGAGACAGGGTCTCCCTCTGTCACTTGGGCTAGAATGCAGTGGTGTCATCGTAGTTCACTGCACCTCAAACTCCTGGTCTCAAGTGATCCTTCTGCCTCAGCCTCCTGAGCAGGTGGGACTATAGGTGTGAGCCACCATGCCTGCCTAATTTTTCTATTTCTTATAGAGATGGAGTCTCACCGTGTTGCTCAGGCTAGTTTCAACCTCATGGTCTCAACTGATCCTCCGATCCTCTGGCCTCAGCCTCCCTAAGTGCTGGGATTATAGCTGTGAGCCACTGCGCCTAGCTAGCAATTAAGTAATTTTTAATTAATGTATGTACTTTTAAAAAAATTAATGCTACTGCACACTTAATATACTATAACGTAAACATAACTTTTATATGCATTGGGATACCAAAAAATTTGTGCGACTTGTTTTAGTATGATATTTGTCTATTTCAGCGATTGGGCACAGAACCTGTAATTAATACAGGTACCCAACTGTGTGGGTACCTGTATTAACATATCAAGATTGTATCAGTCAGAGCAGACTGAAATATGCTGGGTGGCAAACAACTCCAAATTGCAGTGGCCCAACACAACAAAACTTTATTTCTCCATTGAATATTCATATCCACAAAGATTAATATAGACCCATATCTCACACTGTACACAAAAATGAACTCAAAATGGTTTATAGACCTAAATGTAAGTGCTAATCCTATAAAACTTCTAGAAGAAAACTTAATAGAAAATGGACTTCGGGTTAGGCAAAGGGTTCTTAGAGATAAAACTAATCGCAGGTGGCATCAAAAAAAGACATAAACTGGACTTTATAGAAATTAAAAAAACAATTGCACTTCAAAATACTTCATTAAGAAAATGAAAAGACAAGACATAGACTGGGAGAAAATATTTGCAAATTGTGCATCTCATAAAGGATCTGAATCTAAAATATGTAAAGAACTCTTTCAACTTTATTTAAGAAGACAAACAGCTGCTACTTAAAACATGGGTAAAAGATTTGCTTAGACACTTCATCAAAGAAGATATAAGAATGGCTAATAGCCCATGAAAAGATGCTCAACATCATTAACCATTAGGGCAATACAAATTGAAACCACAGTGAGAAACTACTTCACCCTCCACTGTAATAAGTAAAATCAGAAAGATAGACAATAACAAGTATTGGTGAGCATGCAGAAAAATTGGAACTCTCACATTGCTCACACTTTGGAAAATAGTTTGGCAATGTCTTAAATAGTTAAACATAATCTTATACAACTCAGCAATTCTACTCCTAGGAATCTACTCAAGAAAAATAAACACACATGTCCACACAAAGAGTTGTACACAAATTTTCATAGAAGCTTTATTCATAATAGCGCAAAATTGGAACAATCCAAATGAACTGGTGAATGGATAGACCAAATGTACATTCCTTAATGGAGTTCTATTCAGCAATAAAAAGGAAAGAACTACCAACTGGTACAACATGGATGAAGCTCAAAAACATTATTCTGAGTGAAAGAAGCCAGATGCAAAAGACTACTTATTGTATATATTCATTTGTATGAAATTGTCAGAAAAGGCAAATCTATACAGAGCAGATTTTGAAGGGTTGTGAGTGGGAAGGATGATTTGACAAATGGGCATTATGAATTTTTGGAGGATGATGAAAGTGTTTTAAAACTGGATTGTGGTGATGACTGCACAACTCTAGTCACAGGTTACTGTAGTCATTTAAGGAACAAAAGTGACAGACATCCTATCTCAATCAAGCTTCCATGATTACCACAGCAGGGGAGGGAGATGTGCCTCTGATTCTTAACAATTCTCCTAGGAAGCGAGACACATCACTTCCCCTCACATTTTATTGGTCAAAGCAAGTTACATAGCCATGACTAATTTCAATAGTGTATGAAAGTGTAATTTTACTATATTCTAGAAAAGAGGAGAACCAGAATATTTGTGAACTCTAGTGATGATCACAGAAATAAGTAACAATAAAGGGTACAGTTTACTATGGAGTTTATACTTCTGAGGGCCTTGTTGACATTTATTTTCTAAAACATTTTGCTTAGCTAACAAATTTCTAAGACTACAATTACAGGTATTTTTAATATTTTACTGTCATTCCCTGAGTGTCCTTGAATCTCTGAGTACTTGGTTTCCTTAATGTTTGCTTACATCTTTGCATTCATATGTTTGCATAGAAAAATAGTAAACTTTTTTTTTTAATAGAGACTTCATTGACTCCTCTAATGTGTATGGGATTAGAACACTTTTGTGTGGCTAAAGAGACCAAAAAGTTAGACCAGTAAGTGACAATCATAAGAGGACAGATTGTACACTTATATGAGGGAGAATTTTCTAATAAGAGTTTCTGACTGCCTCTGAAATATCCAATTGCTGAAGTTGTGGCTTGATTAACCGCTTGAAGGGCATTTAAGATGAATTTATGATAAACTATGTTATAATAGAATTGAGATAATGTAAAACTTGAAAGATAGTAGATACAGTGAGTAGTAAGAAGGCAGACAAAAGATTAGGATCACTACTCAAGAGAAGCAGAGAAATGGGAAGGTATGACCAATATATTTAAAATATTGAATGGTATTATTTAAAATGAATATGCTTTTTTTTTTTTGCCAATTCTTAGATCACAGGCTGAGAGAACCCCGTTTAAAGTATGAGCAAAGTGAGTTTAGACCAGAGGTACTTTTTTAGAGACAGAAAAAACATGGCATTTATTATCCCTGTGACATGAGTCAATGTAAAATGATTTAAAAAATATTTTGAACAAGTTATAAATAAAGGTACTACACGTGGCTACTAAGAAGAGCTGGGTTGTATCTGGGTGTAAGTTAAAAGAGGCAAGCATACATTCTCAGTTTGTCAGTTGGGACTCCCATAAGCAGCAGAAATCTTGCGTAGGGTAAGGATCTGTCCTAGCAAGAAAAAGTTCTATATTCCCCCAATAAACCGCTTTCACGGAATTATTCTCAGATTTCAATACAATAAGGAAAGACTGCAAAGCAGGTAGACAGAAAACCTTTCATCGTGAGGGAAAAAGTCTGACAATCTTTCATATAAGCAGCTCCTGATAAGGAGTTTGGTACTGGATAGGAATTGCTGAACAAAATTTAATTCTGACATACTGGACCTCCTTCCGGCTGAAGGAAAATCTAACAGCAGGCCTCAGGGTGAAGGTAAAAGAAACGTGCTTTAGCTAAGGTTTTCTCCACGGAAAGGAAATCAGCCCCGCAAGATGTACAGAGCACCGCCCTATTCCTCAGTAAAAGAATATGCACAACGAAGGTCCAACACAGCCCTTTCCTTCATAACAGACACAACACCACATCGCCGACGGTCAAAAAGCCCAGCGCTCACTATTGTGTTAGCACCGGCGGCGGAAGCACTGATTCCCTACCACAACGTTAAAGAGTCCTTCTTTGTTCAGCCCCGGCCAGTACTCAGAGAGCGGTGTTCTTCCGCGCTCGCCGGGCAGTCCCCGCCCCCCCCGCAGCCTTGGAGAGCTGCCATTCGGCACCGGAGTTGCTCCGCGCTCCCAGAATGCACCGGCAGTCCGCGGGAAACCAAAATGGCGAAGGGCTGTAGCGAAGTGGGCTGTGTTTGAGACCGGTGTAAGAACGCTGTCTTTACCCCCAACCCTCGTCCCCAAGGACCTCGGTTTGTGCGTGCGTATGTGCGGGTTGCCCGGTGGGGCGGGTGCCCAGTAAGTGCTTGGACTCGCAGGGGAAGCGCCCACGGAGACGTGATTGGTTGTTTTTTCCTGTATGAAGCGGTTGGCACCACTGAAGTGACCGAATGAGGTGAGAGACCTTGGCCTGGGAACCGACTCTTCCGGAGGCGGTGGGGGCGGGGGGAAGGAGGAAGAAAGGAAGCAAGTATAAAAGGGAAAGATGGAGGATCGGGGTGGGGGTGGGGGCTCCTGTATGTGGGTGCCTTTGCATTTGTGTGTATGTTGAAAAGAATGGATGGAAAGGAGTAGTCAGTTGAGTGCTGGAGAAAATAGGGACTAAAGCAGCGAGCAGGGCGTTGGGGGAATCCGTTGGAGGAACAAGATAAAACATTGAGACGGGGAAGCTGCATTTGGAGGGCAGGAAGGAACCTGGGGGCGGGAGACGGTTGGAGGGGCAGGATGAACCTGGTGACGAGGGGGTGGGGAACCGAGGGGAGGAGCCGTTGGGAAATGGGCAGAGAGAGATGTGGGGAGCAGAGTGGAGGGTCTACCTAGGATCTTAGGGGCGCAAAGGGAACCGGAGGGTGGTGGAATTGTGTGGAATTGGAGTAAGGAGGTCTAATGTAAGTGTTGGATGGAGTATTAGGATAAGGGGAACACTGAAGAGCCTGGAAGCAAATCCTTAAGCTTAAAGGGAAGAAGTGGGAGGAAAAGTGAGATAAATGAGGAAAAGGTACCTTATATTTGGAGTACATCAAGACTGAGGCATTTCTTCTGTTTAATTAAATCTAACTCATATCCCTACTCAGATGTAGACTTGTATTCATTTTTACAACTGAAGTAATTAAGGTTTAAGGAATTTTAACTAATTTGCCAAGATTTCTTAATACATTTCGGTAGTGCCAGAACTGTAACTGACTGTTTTACAATCTGGAGTCCTTGGTTGCTAGAGTTTTTCTTTGGAAGCAATTAGAGGGAACAGATGGATTTATCAGAGTGATTTGACGAACAGTAAGGGTTCATGAACAATGGGAAAAGGGTTATGGAATGTTAGTCTGTTCTTTAAAACATTTAACTTTGGTTAAAGATAGAAACCATCTAATACTAATTCAAATATGAAAACCTAGGTAAGGCCTGTCTGTATAACTTATAGGAAAGAGCCATGTGAGGTCAGTACAGAGCTAGAAATATGTAAATAGTGCCTGATTTAATTTAACTCTAGATGCTTCAGTGGTAATAGCAGTAACTTTCTCCTGCAGATCGATTCCCTGTGACCCTCCCGTATACCTTGCCTACAGGCTGGTTTCAATTCCCAAGTTTTCATTCTCTCTTGGGAATTCCATTTCTTGGCAGTAAATTTCAAAGGCAGTTGAATAAAAGTATTTAAAAGTGGATAAAAGAAAAAACTTAAATTCTTAGGTGACCTTTTCAAAGGTTTGAAAATGCTTTAAATGGAGCCGTTTTGACTAACAGCTTTAGATGCCAGGTAGTTGAGGCAAGGAAGAATTGATTTAAAATTTCTTAATATAAAGTATTCTATTTTCTATTTGAAATGTTATTTACACTGCAAGTATTTGCACTGGTAGCTTGGGAGGGAATATGGGATGATGTTTTGTTTCTAAATATAAAAATATTTGAATTGACATTTTAAAGTTTGTTCACCTTCAATTTTTTTGAGTGCTAAAAGTGTTCTAAATATTTGAATTAAGAATGCACCTGTTTCCTGATACTGCATATTTATGTTAATGGGCATTAACGGAATACAACTATCCGGATTAAATGCACACACAATTTTAGAACTAGATATATAGAAATCTGGTTAGACCTTTTTTCCTAGATGAAGCAAGTATATTTGATAGTTCTTTAAAATATGCCTGTTGCCTCAAAGCTGTGTTAAGAAGGAAATTTTATTCTGTATTTTGCTGTTGTAAACTCTTTGATGTCATGGATTATAAATATACCATTTCATTACCTCTTGACTGAAAGGATAAATTGCTTTATTCATATTTCAGCATAATCTTTTTTTTTTTTTTTTTTTTGAGACAGAGTCTCACTCTGTTGTCTGAGCTAGAGTACCCTGGCGTCAGCCTAGCTCACAGCAACCTCTAACTCCTGGGCTCAAGCAATCCTTCTGCCTCAGCCTCCCAAGTAGCTGGGACTACAGGCATGTGCGTCCATGCCCGGCTAATTTTTTCTATATATTTTTAGTTGGCCAATTAATTTCTTTTTATTTTTAGTATAGACAGGGTCTCACTCTTGCTCAAGCTGTTTTCAAACTCCTGACCTTGAGCCATCCACCCTCCTCAGCCTCCCAGAGTGCTAGGATTACAGGTGTGAGCCACCGCACCATCCTATATTTCAGCATAATCTTTACATCAGACTTTAGGAAACTGGCAGTATAGTGGTAATCTATTTTAACAGATGGGTAAATTTGCCTGTGAGGTGTTGCCATGGCCAACATCTGTAGGTTGGTGAGTCTTAAAGTAAAACTTAACTGCTGTTTCAGTCTGTATTTCTGTGAATGATATTCCTAGGTTCTTATTTTTATGCTTTGTTTCCACTGTTCTCCAGGAAAAGTTGTTTATTGCCGTGAAATCCAGTATAATAACCCTAAATTGGAATGTAGAAGTTTCCTTCTGGATGTTTCTTATGTATTAAGGAGGTGCTATCCAATAGAACTTTATGCAGTGATGGTAATGTTCTGTATCTGCTGTATCTAGTATGTTAGCCACTAGCCACATGTGATTATTGAACACTAGATATGTCACTAGTGAGACTGAGAATTGAATTTATAATTTAATTCATTAAAACTAAAATCTAAATGGCCATATGTAGCAGTGGCCAATGTATTGGACAGCACAGTATTAGGGGTTATTGCATCCATGTATTAGGAGTGGTAGCATTCATTAACTGTGGAAACCACAGGAACCCAAGGGTGAGGAACTGTGTTAGAACTAAGGAAGTCCAAATTGTCTTTGTACATTTTAAGATGAATATTCCTTATTTTTGCCACATACCATGTCTTCATATTTTTGTTTTTATAATATATAACGTTGTAAAAGAATGATGAAGGTAGCGACCCCTCTGATCTTTTTAAGATATAAGAGTCTGCTTCCTGTGTCAAAAAGTAACAAAAATGAATGTTAGTTTACTTTGTTATTTTTAAAAGCTTACTTTGTTGTTTTTATACTTCAGTTAAAAAAACTTTTTATTAAGGAAAATTCCAAACATATACAAAGTGAACAGAACAGTATAATGAACTTTTATGTATCTATTCTTGTTTCATTTATCTACTCACTCCCCATTCCACTCCATTGTCTTTAAACATTTTTTAAGGTAAAATTTGCATATTGAAATTCACAAATCTTAACTCTTCAGTTATTTAAATGACAGTTTTATTGAGATATAATTCACATAACCATATTTATATGTACACAATTCACATGTACCCTTTAAGGTGTACAATTCAGCGATTTTAGTATATTCACAGAGTTGTGTACTATCTAATTTCAGAGCATTTTCATCACCCCAAAAAGAAAATCTGTATCCATTAGCAGCCACTTCCCTCCCCCTCCTCTACATAGCCTCTGGCAACCAGTATATTTACTTTCAGAGTCTATAGATTTTACTCTTCTGGACATTTCATGGAATTACACTATTTGTGGCCTTTTGTGTCTGGCTTCTTTCACTGAGTGTAATGTCTTCAAGATAATATCCATGTCGTAGCATGTATAGGCACTTCATTTCTTTGCATGGCTAAATATTTCATTGTATGAATATACCATATTTTGTTCTTAAGTTGATGGACTTTTGGATTGTTTTCCACTTTTTAGCTATTATAAGTAATGCTATTATGACCATTCATGTACAGGTTTTGTGTGAACATATGTTTTTATTTCTCATGGGTGTATGTCTAGGAGTAGAATTGCTGGGTCAGATGGTAACTATGTGTTTAACATTTTGAGGAACTGCCAAACTGTCAAAGACACTGCACCATTCTACATTCTCACTGGCAATTATGAAGTTTTCAATTTCTCATGTCTTCACTGATACTTGTTGTTGTCTGTCTTTTTAAATAACTATCTTAGTGGGTATGAAGTGGCATTTCATTTTGGGTTTGATTTGCATTTCCCTTATGGCTAATGATGTTGAGCATCTTTCTTTGTACTTATTGGCCATTCGTATACTTTCTTTAGATAACTATTTAGTCTTTTGCCTATTTTAAAAATTGTGTTGCCTTTTTATTGGTGAGTTGTAAGAGTTCCCTAAATATTTTGGATACAAGTTCCTTATCAGATGTAACATGTAACTTGTAACATTTTGTAGCATGTAACTTGTAAACACTTTTTCCCATTCTGTGGATTGTCTTTTTATTTTCTTGATGGTGTCCTTTGAAGCATGAAAGTTTTTCATTTTGATGAAGTCCAATTTAACTGTTTTTGATTTTTTTTTACTTCTGCTTTTGATGTCACATCTAAGAAACCATTGCCTATCAAGGTTACAAAGATTTACTCCTCTGCTTGCTTCTAAGAGTTTTATAGTTTTAGCTCTTTTTTTTTTTCTTTGAGACAGAGTCTCACTTTGTTGCCCAGGCTAGAGTGAGTGCCATGGCTTCAGCCTAGCTCACAACAACCTCAGACTCCTGGGCTCAAGCGATACTACTGCCTCAGCCTCCCGAGTAGCTGGGACTACAGGTATGCCCCACCATATCTGGCTAATTTTTTCTATATATATTAGTTGGCCAATTAATTTCTTTCTATTTGTGGTAGAGACGGGGTCTCGCTCTTGCTCAGGCTGGTTTCGAACTCCTGACCTTGAGCAATCCGCCCGCCTCGGCTTCCCAGAGTGCTAGGATTACAGGCGTGAGCCACTGGCCCAGCCTAGTTTTAGATCTTACATTTATGTCTGTGATCCATTTTGAGTTGATTTTATATATGGTGTCAGGTAGGGGTTCAACTTCAGTCTTTTCCATGTGAATTCTTCATGTGGTACTTATTTTCCAGTATAATTTTTTTTTTCTATTCAAAGAGGGATAACTCAATCCAGTACCATTTGTTAAAAGACTATTTTTTCCTCGTTGTTTTGACAATTTTGTTGAAATTCAGTTGACCATACATATAAGGATTTATT